CCTGAAACCAGGCAGAGCAGTTACCAACAATATTGTACACCTGAAATTAATAAAGAATAATGTTGAGTGTGAACTGTAATTTTTCTTATAAAAAGCATGATAAGGATTCATTGAGTTTCAGGTGTTGGTTAAAGAGGCTCTAAAAATTGGGAAGTGTTAACTCTGGGCAGACACAGATGTAAGAATAAAGTATATCAGACTCCACAAAATCCTAACCCTTTCTTAATAATTAGTTGGTGGGCTTTTTTTTAAAAAAAAAAAAAAAAGAAGATAAACTAATCTTTCATAAAGAAAACAATTGAGCCAGCACAGTGCCATTAAACTTGAAGTCCAGCTAGAAAATACAATGGGGAGTTCATGTGGGCGACTGCATAAACTTCCCAAGATCTAAAACCCATAAGGAAACCAGAGGTATAGCTATGAAAGATAAAAGATTGAAGAGTATCTAAACAAGTCAGAATTAGCCAGATGTAAACTGTGATTACAAACATCCCTGAAATCTAAGTGCCTCGTGACAAGAAAGGTTTTTTGTTTTGTTTTGTTTTGCTCCCACTAACAGACCACTGAGGTTTGGCTGGGGGGCTCGCTCTGGTACCCAGACTGAATCAGCAACCCTATCCAGCACTGTAGCAGATGGGAAGGGAGCACATGAAATCACACACTGGCTCTCAAAGCTTCCACATGGAAGAGACATATAATTTCTGCTCATGTTTCATTGGCCAGAATAAATCACTTGGCCACATCTGATTCAAGGGGGAGTAGGGAATTGTATTCCAACCATGAACCCAGAGGGAGAACGACAAAAATTTGGGGAACGACATGACAGACTACCACAGTGAGGTCTTATGAAAAACAGAAGTGAAAGCAGCCTAAGAAAGGGAAAGTTCTGAAGCTAGGACTTGCATTAGGGGCTTATAATTAGGTGGACATTTGATAACTTATTCATAATGGTAACTAGGAGGAGACTAAAATTTAATTCATAAAATTTCATAAAAAGTGTTGTAATAATAGGTCGATTGACACTGTGAGAAGTTTGGTGAAAGGCACTGTAGGACCCTCTGTGGAATTAGTACTGACGAGGTCACACTGAGACTTCGTAGGGGACTTGTTTATCATCCTGAGGCTTGTTTATCACCTGAGGCTCAGTCAAAGTGCATTATGTTGCTTCTCACTCATTTTAGGTGATTTCAATAGTATTTCCAGTTTCATTGCTGTCAGCTGCATTGGGCTTAAGGAACCTCTTTTGTTATGAATTTACGTACAAAGATTTCACGCATGAGATATGATTCTGCATATTGTTGCTTCTCTGTGCAGTAAAATATCTACTTTTAATCTATTTAATAGAAATGAACTAGATAAGGCAAACATTTTTCATTACTGAAATAACCACTTTTCCAAGGAACATCTGATCTTATAACTGCATTCTCCAAATAGAACAGATTCCTCCCTATACAAAGCGCACATAGGAGAGGTTTCTTAGATCGAGTTTCCCCAGAAACTGATCCTGAGATGAGTAATGGAAAGCAAGTACCTCTGTCTGTTTGGGCTGCGATCCCACAAGGCACAGGAAGGAGAGTGAGACAGGTAAGGAAGAAGCCAACACAGGGTTCATAAAGAGTGGGTTACTGCTGTAGGCAACTGAGGCTCTAAGCTGGGGACTTCTGAGAGACAGTGTAGAATACAACTTAATACAAGCATACTTGTTTTTTATTGTATGCTCAGTTCTAGACCACCACAGTAAAGAGAGTAGCACTCTTGCCTTCAATATGTGAGGGGGGTGGGCGGCGGGGAGGGGAGAAGCAACATCTCTGAGTGCAATATGAGGAGCTATGCCTCTATAATCCTACTACGTTCAGGTGGGGGAGCTGGGGTGTTTTTAAACCCACTTCCCTCCTTGATTCCTTGAGGGCTGCTCTGAGAGCCATTAACTAACGGGCCCTCATCCCTGAACAGGCAAAGCAGGGTCTGGCAGGCAGAAGCCCTTGGTCAGAAAAGCAGAGAAGGGAGAGACTTGCAGTAAGATGTCACTGGACTGCCAGTAGGAATGACAGAGGGTGGACTCCCATGTAAAGTTCCAACATTGTCAGCGCTGAGAGGATACTTGGGTTTCTAAGCTTTTTTGCTCTGATATACCCTTCTTTGAGCCTAGATGTTAACTTTAAAGAAATATTAAAAATATGATGGCATCTGAGAAAAGATGGCATCTTTTAAAAAAGTGACAGTGGGTAGGTCATACATAGAGTGGACCAAGAGTAGAGACAGGGGAGCTCTGACCAGTTAAAGGCCAAGATTCTTGGGAGAATGACGTTATTCACAAGCAGGCTGGGAAAGGGAGAGGCGGGGAACAGCTGACAGGTGTGTTTCATAAAGCAGGGAGAAGGGCTTCTTAAAGCCACGAGGACTTCTCACTGAGCAAACGGTCCTCACCCCTCATTCCTTGGGAAAGAGAAACAAGCTGTGGACATTTTCCAAGGTTGGTGTTTTAAGATTCAATGAGTGCACTGTAACAAGAAGTGGGGTATTGGGTATTAGAAGTCAGAGACTTTCAGTTGATTTACTTTTCAGAGGTAGCAGAATTGTCTCGAAATTATAAAAAGTACTTAGTTTTCCTTATTTTCCCAGCAGACCCCTGAGGACAGGGAAAAGTAAGGGTTTGTTTGGGGGAGGGTAGAATTCTCCTAAAAAGAGAATTCTGGAAGTCATCATAACATAATTAAACAAAGAGGAATATGTGCCAGACAAGAGTGGGTGGGGGCTGTTTTCTCTTTGTGGTTGGTTGTGGTGCGTTCAAGTTCCCTAACCTAAGATGAGGCTTCTGGGCTCCCAGTAGGCAAGTAGCTGCTCAGGAAACCCAGAGCGCCAGGAAGACAAGCGCAGGTGTCTCTGTCCTGCAGGTAAGGAGGCCCTTGCATCCGGAGGCCGGCTAGGCGGGACCGGAATCCTCACTCCGCGGCCTAGTGGCTGCTGGCTGGGATTGGGAGGGCAGGACGCTCGCGCAGAAGCCCGGCCCGACGGGCGCGGCTCCCACGCGTGCTGGCTGCCGCACCCCACCTCACGCGCCGGCCGAAACCGCCGCCCTGCTCCTTCCCCACACCCTCTTCTGTTTGCCGCCTATTTCCTCCCATCCCACTGCCCAGCGCTGCGCGCGTCCAAACTAAAGAATTAACTCATTTTGTTCTCCTAGGGGAGTGGGGAACACGCGTGGTTCCTCCCACTGCATGGGTCGCCCTGAGCACTGTCCGGGACCCGCGGCGCGAGGAGGGGAGCTCTTGGTCCAGAAAAGTCCCAGGAAGCGAGCATCTCTGGTCCCGGGATGCGTTCGTCCTCTCAATCCTCTTCTATTTCCCGTGCCGCGTGCGCGCTCACTCTGGGGGAAGTTGGTTGCAAAGTTTCTGAATGAGGTGTGGGCTCTCGCAAGAGGAGGTCTGGTACGGCGCGGGAGGCGAGAACAGAAGCGCTTCACGCGGCTTCTTTGTTCTGCTTTAGGGGCTACAGACCTGGCCAGGAGTCGTCGGGAGAGTGAGGGGACCGCCAGCCGCGACATTCCGGAGCCAGCAGGGGCTCTTCGCCTCCTCCCGACCTCCTCCTTCAGGCATCTCCCCCACCCCCACCCCCACCCCAGCACTGCTCCCCAGGCCACAAGCTTCCTTCCTTTACCCAAATCCATTATTTCCAAACTTCACTGTCGCACTGAGGTCCCTCGTCTAGGATGGAGAAAGAGGGTGGAGGCGATGGTGCGCTCTGGAGTACCTCCTGGAGGGTGGGTGTTTGCTTTGGAAAGTTTGGGGTTTTTCCTGGGCCCTAGAAACTGCTGCCTCCGTGGGTCCCCATGCTCTCCTATTCTCCCACCTCTGGGCTTCCCCCCTTTTCAGTTCTAATGAGATCTATGAGGAACATGGGCACTGCTCTGAGTCACTCGGAGAGCCTAAGCTGTGGGCCGCACTTGGGATGAGGGTCTAGGCCTGGGGGAGGCAAGGATGGGGACCTCAACTCTGGAGTTCGAGGACTGACTGGTAGAGGACCTGAGGAAGGTCCGTAGCTGTTCCTGGTCTAGGCACCTGATTTGTCAGGCGGTGAGGGAGGGGATGGAAAGAGCATCCCGCTCAGTTCAGACCATCGGCGCCTAGGAGTACAGGACGGGAGGTGGCCAGGGACCCCGAGTCAGATTTTTGGGGCGAGGGAAAGGCAGTGGCCTGGGAAAAGAAACAGGCGAGGAGCGTTTGGCTCCAGGGTCAGAGGAAGCGTGGCCACCCAGAGACCTGCCGTCGCGGATTGCAGTTCAGGCGAGTTCTGGGTCTGAGAGGTGGGCTCGTCGTCCAGGTGGGGATCCGCCCTCGAGTCCCTGGACCGAGTTGCGCAGCGCCAGCAGCAACAGGTACCCTGGAGCTGGGCTTTGTCCTGAGGATTAGAGGGCTCTCCCAAGGGACAGTGTAGTGGGGTGGGTGGGGGGAGAAGAGTTTTGCAACCCTCGGAGCCCCTCTGAGTTGTTTTGGTGTGTTGGGTGGAGGGGTAAATCCGGGTCGAGGAACAAGGATGGAGAGCCAGCGTGTGCCCCACCTCCGATTGTGTAACGCGCCTGTATCTTCTGGGGTTGACCCTCTGCCCTTCGCATTCTGTCTACTGGGATGGTGAAAAACTGAGGGAAACTCAATGCCAAAGTGGATTGTTCACGTTGATTGGCAGGGAAAGTGCGAACAAAGAGGCGCATCTCCCGGAAACAATGATTTTGGAGAGTTCCCCCCGCAGACGTGAGCGGGTTGGGGAGGAGGCGGTATGGAGGGAGGGGACCAGAACCGGCATCTCCGGGGAAAGTTGGAACGAGGTGGTGGGAGGATTGGGTCGGGTCGGGTGGTGTGGAGCTGGGGACTGAGCTGCCGGGCGTCTCGGAGGATCGCGAGCGGGGCGGGAGATGCGGGGAGGGAGGGGGCGGGGAGGGAGGGAGGGGGAGGGGAGAGGAAGAAGGGGTGAGAGGGAGAACCTGCCGCCGCTCGCCGCCTCTTTGTCTGCTCCGGGACCGGGAACAAAGGGGGGAACTCTGATGAACTCTCCTCCCCTCACCCCGGACGCCCGGGTATCTCAGTCTCGCAACTTTGCCACCGCGACTTTCTGCGCTGTCAGGCCCCACAAAAGTGTCCGCGCGCCTTGCGGACTGCAACGGGGGACGTCTCTGAAAAGTGCGACCAAGTGGGAAGAAGGTGAGTGGAGACTGTTGTCTTGTTTACCTCTTCTACCCTGAATGCGCCCGGCTCCCCGCCCTTGGAGTACAGAGGAGTCGTCCAGTGACGAAGTTTGGTTGGAAAGTTGTACCTCCTTTCCCCCCTGCTGCCTTCTCTTTTGTTCTTTAACGAACTTGAACAGATGATTTTAGTTGTTCCTTTTTAATAGGCAGAAGGCAATCAGGCATTTCTCTCAAGTGTCTCTTTATGCGAGGAGCTGGGGGTTTGGGGGAAGGGTATATCCAGGGGGCATTGCCTCGCTTTCCCCTAGTTATGCGCACACGGGAGAGAAACACGCTGAAGTGGATGGGGTCTGTCCACTCTCGTCCCCGCCGCGCCCAGACTTTGTCATGCGAAAGAAAGAGATATGGAGCTGGGGGTCGTTCTAGAACTTAACTGTCTGCGGAGCGCCCAGCAGCCGATCTAACGCACAATGCCAAAGCTGCAACAATAGAATGCAGAAGAGGTGTGGGTTGGAGGGGTGTGGACTCTTGTGTCTGTGGTCCAGGGGGTTAGAGCAAACAGGTAAGAGTTCAGGAAGATTTATTTGGGGTGGGGTAGGTGGGGAAAGCCACAGGTTCCCAACAAGCAGAGATGCAGAGATGGAGGGATGAGGCCTGGACCACTAGTTACAGAGTCGGCCATCCCGTGCGCACGTTAGTTTAACCACCCACCCAGAGTAACCTTGGCTGTCCTTCGGATCCATCCTCACCTCTCTCACTTTATCCTCACCCCCCATTTCAATGGGTTCGAATAGAAAGTGGAACGTGAGCCCTAGGAGATCCTCAGACCTCGCCCTCCGCCCGCCTTTTGTGTTTTAACCTTTTGTTTCTATCTGCCACGCCCGCCCCAAGAGGGGTGGCGGTAGCTGCTCCTGCGAGCGCGGAGGCACTGCAGCCTCCTCCAAGTTAATGGGCAAAGGGGGACTCCCTAACTTTGTTTCCCAAGGAACTTCCCTTCGCAGTGTTTCTAGGTTGGTTCTTGCTCAAAGGAGGCAACCACTCTGCAACTGGTAAACATCTCCACCTTATAGGAAATGTCTTTCAGCGCTTTTCCACAAAAGTTGCTTATTTGTCCTGTCATTTGGTTAATAGAAAAACATTTAGGGACCATAGTTGGGAGTTTGTAGAAAGTGGGCAAAGGTAGTATGCTTTAGATTTTATGATGTGTTGAAATATTAGGAATGTGTGGAACAGTCTTTTCGAATTCGACAATGCGAATGTAGGTCATTATCTTCAGGTATGTTTGTTGGAATCATTCCAAATACCAAGGTAATTTATCACCATCCCGACTTTCCTATCCCCACCCTAGAGCTAGAAGCTTTCCTCATGCCCTTGGACTCTTCCACCTTTTCACTTAGACAGGACAAGTGAAACACCCAACCACAGTCTCTTTTAACTTCTTAAAGTTACGATTTTGTATAGTAGTATCCATTATTTAAAACTTGCAGCTAGAAATGATTCAAGTGCCAGAATTACATACAGCCGTTTTGAATTTTCATATTCAAGGCTGAACTCTGTTAATGGTATGGTTACATTTTTTTAAGAAACTGAGTGTGTAGAGTGGTTGGAAGCTAACCTTAATTAATTTTAATTGTACAGGTGTCGTTATTATTATCAGCATCTAGAAAGCATCACGCGGTGCATTTTCTTGTGGGATCTTTCTAAGAGTGAACATTATGGAAGTGCCGATACGTCATTCCCGGATGAAAAGTTGTCAAACTTTTGGAGTTACTTAAAAGTTAAAATGTTGGAATTGTTTATGACGCCTCCCCTATGTGGATTACTACAATTTGATCACTGGGAACTCTCCACCTTAAAGAAGGTACTTTTCTTTTTAAATACTCTACAAGTGCTTCTTCATTTTGGGGCTGGTGCCATTAGAGAATTGGGTAGTTATTTTGAGCTTTGCCTGATCAAAGTGATTTATAACTTCAGATTTCCTTGTTTCGAACTGGTTTTCGTAGGTCCTTTTTCATTTGGAATGAGAATTTGGGTACTTCTGATGAGATTTTATTAATTTTACAATATATCCTTCATCATCAGCACATACAGAATGTGAATTATGTGTCACTGAGGAAAGTTATGTAACAATGATGCATCCAGTATGCAAATGTGATTGGGATTGGTTTTGTTTTTAAATACGGTAGTGAATGTTTCTACATTTGCAGAACTTTTGTGGTTTGCATTATTTTCTTTTCACTTTTGAAATTTCATTTTGCTAAACAAAATCCAAAAGGAACCAGAAATAGATGAATTCCTAATAACCGGGAATCAATGTGATAGTACAAGTTCTAACAATGAAAACTTGACTGTGTAATACCAAGGAGGATGTACATTTGTTTAGTCTTTGTGGTACACATCAAGTTTTTACAGCATTCATTAAGAGTCTTATATTCCCACTTTTAAGTCTTACAATTAATTTTTGTCTATATCTGTGATAAAGCAGTTAAAAGTTTGCATAAATACTGTTGGTAATATAAAAGTGTTTTTGACACCATCTCCACTTTTCTTGTTTAATGTTCCTTGTTTGCCATGGAAAGTGAGAGTTTTCTTTGTTTAAAATGTATTGTTTTGAGTTGATTTAAATAGTAAGATTTGATTTTCAAAATGATTCAAGTTCTAGGTGGTTTTAAATGGTATAGATGGAGAATAGATGTATTACTTTGAGAAATGTTAAGATCTGGTCAGAGAAGATCATTGGGAATTGGCAATGTTTTTATCCTGCTACAAGTGAAAAACTATTCTGGTTTGCTTTTTTTAGTTGTATAAACTTGGAAAGGATACTTAATCATTCTGCACTTTAGCTTATCATCTATAAAATGAAGGTTAGGTTAAAGAAACTAAGAAATCTTTCACCTTTAAGACTGTGTGATTTGCTGACTGCGTCTATGATTAAACTGTATCCTCTCTTGAGAAGTTTCTTTTTAATTTGTCAAACAACAGTGGAAAACTTCATGTATTTTAATAATTATTTTGTATGAATTCTGAGCTCATGGAGTATTAGTTCAGGTAATACACATTACATTTAATTTTCTGTGAGGTATGCTCTTGGCAAAGTGTGTCGTCTGGAAATGTCCAAGTTCCTCAAATGTTTTCAACGGGAGTTTGTTCGGCTAGAACAGTTTTGGGGGGCAGAGAGTGCCATCTTATTTCTCATCAAGTGTTTTCCCTACAAATGTCAGAAGTTAATATGTTTGAATTTATTCTAGTGGCCACCCAGAGTGGGCCTCAGAGGTTTAGAAATAGACTTTGGAATGAAACACCTGAGTTTGGATCCCAGCACAGGCGACTCACCGTGATGCCTTTGGCAGGTTACTTGCTTTCCTTGGGTCTCTGTTTCCTGATTTGTAAATGGGGATCTTAACACTAATCTCATGGGGTGGATGTATTTTTTAAAAGCACCTACCAATATGTAAGAAAAAAACTTAACAGAGAGCTAAGTATCTCTAAACATATAGTAAAAGGTACTAGTATTGCCTTTCACAATGAATTAGTGATATTTCCTGACTCCCAACTTTCTTTGTTGGCTGCCTTACAAGTTTCAAACCACATTAACCAAAAATATTCACTGAAATATTCACAGTCAATTTGGTTAGAGTTTTTCACATATTTAAAGGTTTTTCTCTGAAAATGTGTTCTGTTCAAGTATTTTATCCAGTTAGGTGTGGATTAATTCATTTTGATAAACATTTATTAAATGGTACTACACGTAAGCATGTTGCCAGAGGTCATGGCTTCATCTTGGAATTTGTGGCCCTTCCATTTCCTTATAGAAATTTCTGTGAAACGAGAGAATAGCAAATTTGTAGAATTAATTTACTGAAGTTCTCTGTTTTCATTGTTATCAGTGATGAATAGATTGAGATACAGTTAAAAAATTTTGTTACTCACTTTTCAGCTACATTATAAAGTGATGGTTCAGTGGTGTCTTGATGAGGAGATGAAGAACTATTGCACATTTTCAGATACTTGCTGTTGTACAATGGTCCTTATTTAAATAAAAAACTCACAGTTAGTGGAAACGACACTTAGAAGACTAGTCTATCATGGTGAAATGAAGTTTAATGTCCTGGATTTTCATTTTATGGATTTATAATTTAGCAAGGTACATTGCCTTCTCTGAGTGATTATTTAGTTTGATGAAAATTATATTCATTTACCCTTAGAAGTTTCTGATGGAAATGTTAGGGTACTGCTTCTTCTCATTTGTAATCTACCGGCAGATAGTTGCTTAGAAATGATCATGTTATTAAAAAGAAAAATATGAAATAAGTTAATATTTTAATGAGAAAATAATTTCCCCAACATATATCCAAAACTTTATGTTTGTGGACCACATCTATTTTAATCATTAGTATGGCAACTACTAATATAATAATTTGTAATCACAGAGTTTAAACTGGTAAATTTCTTTACTTTTGTATATGATGCCAATTCTTAAGTTATAACCAAATATACTTAATATACTTACTTTACTGTAAGTATCCAATTTTATAATCTTGGCTATTTAAAACTGTTCATTGGTGTGTATTAGTTTGAATTACTGAAACCTGAACAATCCACCAAGGCATTTAAACTTATATAGGAAGAAAATCCAAATATTCATCTGTATCATCTAAAAATTATGAATATGGTACATACTAAGCATCTTATAAGTAAATAAAAAAAAACATTTATTTACCTTTGAACTTTATAATAAGTCTAGGACGTGATCACCAGAATATTTTGAGTAGTATTTCCACTTATTTATTTACTATGAGTTTCTTAAGGTACAATAGGTATTCCCAAATCATTTTGATTTGCCTCGAATTTGCTGATTTTAAAATGCCAGTCATGCCCTGGCTGATGTAGCTCAGTGGATTGAGCGCGGACCTGCGATGTGGTTTGATTCCCAGTCAGGGCACATGCCTGGGTTGCAGGCCAGTTCCTAGCAGGGGATGCATGAGAGGCAACCATACATTGATATTTCTCTCCCTCTCTCCTTCCCTTCCCCTCTAAAGATAGATAAAGAAAGATCTTTAAAAAATACATAAAAATAAAATGCCAGTCATTTCTAAGAATTTTGATGGTAGTTATCCTTATTATTGTTTAAGATAAAGATGCTTAGACATATATCACAAAACTATGAATCCTACTCTGTTCAATCATTCTTTCCATATTCACCTTTTAAGTAATATTTATGTAGTAGCTTCCATGCCTGGGCACTGTTCTAAGCCCTGAGGATACATAAGACATAAAAATTCCCATACTCTCAGAGCTTTTACTTGTGACAGTGAAATACATGTTTCAAGGCAGCAATTGTTTCTGAGTAAAATAAACCAGGGAGATAAGAGAGTGGGAGAGAAGAGGGTGGCAATTTTCTTCTCTTTTTTCTTTGTTTTAAAGATTTTATTCATTTACTTTTAGAGAGAGGGGAAGGGAGGGAGAAAAAGAGGGAGAGAAACATCCGTGTGCGAGAGAAACATTCATCCGTTGCATGTGCTCCGACTGGGAATCTAACTCGCGATCTTTTGGTTTGTAGGGTGACACCCAACCCTCTGAGCCACAACAGTCAGGGCAGGGGTGGCAGTTTTCAGTGGGATGATCAGGGATGACCCAGGATGACCTCATGGAAAAGGTGACATTTGAGGAACGCCATAAAAGAAGTGAAGAAGTGAGCTATGTGATGTCATTGGGTAGAGGAGTATTCAGGCAGAGGCGTGGCAAGTGCTTGGTATATCATTGCAAGGCAAGGAGGGTATAGCGGCTGGGGCAGAGTGAGCAAAGGGGAGGGGATGACAGGAGATGAGGTCCTGGAGGAAATGGGAATATGGTGAGCAGATCACATGGATCCTTAAAGATCACTGTGAGGACTTCTGATTTTTCACTGAGGCATATGGGGTTCCACTGAAGGGCTTAAACAGTGATTGACCTGGTGCAATCAGTGTTGTAACAAGACAACTCTGGTTGGTGGATGGAGACCAGATCAGAAGGTGTGCAAGGGCAGAAACAGGGGGATCAGTTAAGAAGCTATTTCAGGTATCCAGTGAGAGGTGATGGCTACTTTGGTGACAGTAAAAGTAGCACGGAGGTAGTGAGAAGGGATTGAATTCTGAAGTTACTTTGGCTGGAGGATTTACTGGTGGATTGAATAGGAATCATGTGAGAAAGAAGAAGAGTCAAGTATGATTCTGAGGTTTTTTGGCACAAACACCTCAACAGACCAAATGCACATTAACCGAGATGCAATGGGATCTTGAGGTAGAGGAGACCAGAAGCTCGGTTTGGACACATTCATATTAAGATCTGTTTTAAGCATCTTGGCAGTTCAATACCCAAGCCTGGTTTTGAAAGAAATTTAGAGATACAAGTTTGTGAGCTGGAAAAAATTAAATGCTATTTAAAGCCATGAGACTGGATGAGATCACCAAGGGAGTGAATATAGAAGGAAAAGAGGTCTAGATGCTAAGCCTTGGGGCCCTCCTGATTTAGAATGGGGAAGATGAGAAGAGGCAGGTAAAGAATAGTGAGAAGGGGCTGCCCCTGAAGTCGAAGTGCAGTGAAGCAGGTGTCTCCTAGAAGAAGGCAAGGTCATCTGTGTCAGGTGCTGCTGATAGTTTGAGCAAGAGGACAATTGGAAATAGATCTTTGGTTTTAGGCATTTGGGAAGTCAGTGCTCATTGGTAGGCTTAACTAGGGTACTTTAACAAATGGTGAAAGATATCTTTTTCCTAATTTGTGTAGTCTGTTATATACCTTTATAACACAGGTGGCAAATACAAGGCCCGAGGGCCGAATCCTACCCTCCACCATGTTTCTACCATGCAGCAGGGCCGAGCTCTG